ACTTCAAGCTGGCTACTTGAACCCTTTGGGATCAAACTCAAGTCATGAGCAGTTTTCACCGCAGTACGATAATTACACCGCATCAGAAGGCGCCATCAATTCCACTGATTCAATGGGCCTGTTCTAGTTGTGACTTATTACACCAATCAACAGGATTTCAGTCAAGAAGTTCTTCAAGGTCTACACTGCGAGCCTTTGGCTTCATCTAGGAAGTAATGCTACTTGGTAGTGAGGACTATACACAGGTTTACAATGAGAACTGAAATGAGACCACACAATGAGGAAATTTTCTTACCACTCAATCTGGTTGCATAGCAGCTCAAGAGTTATTTAGGAAAACACTGTGAGTCACTATGGAATGTGTTACCTGTCTCTTTCGCCATCCTTGATACTTATCGCTACATCTCTGTTGAAGGAAGGTGTGCCAGCCTGGTTACCAAAGCAGCCACACCTGAAACAATTTCCCTTTCTAAGAAAAAATGAGGGGGCCACACCAGACCAAACAGAAGCAAGGATCAATACTATCTATATATGGATTTGTATCATCAGCCATAGGGTTCAATGTTTTTAGTGAGTGTACGGGAAATTATAAATGCATTCACAAAGAGAGAGGATGGGATTGAGCCGAATACATGCATTGTCTCTCACATGAAGTATCAGACTGCACTATTAACGAGATTACAGTAGAAACCCACAGAAAAATTAAGGATCTTCTCTACGCTAGTCACCATAGGGTAGAACTTTCTGGTTTAAACCCCAAATCTTCCTCACAATGGTTCCAAACCCTAATTTTCTTCCTGCTCCAAATGAGCCAGATAAGGCAGAGCACTGGTTCCCAACCTTGGGTAATCCAGGTGTTCTTGAACTATAATTCCCAGAACCCTTTGCCACCAGCTGTGCTAGCCGAATTTGCTGGAAATTGCAGTCCGAATACCTGTGGGCTGAAACACCTGGCTTGCCCAAAGTTGGAAACCACAGAGGTAGAGGAAAAGACCACAGCGTTACTTTTTTTCTTTTTCTTTTTGGAACCAGCCAGCTGGGGTATTTTGGGAACTGTAATCCACAAGAAAAAAAATAAAAACTTTCCAAGCTCTTGAAAAGCGCTGTTGTTGTAATTATAACAACAGTCGGCATTTGTTCATTTCTTTGGAACAAGCCTGTGTTTTCACAATTCACCTGGTAGCATGGACAACTAAAATTTCCATGGGGCTCTGGGTGCAGGTGAGCTGGTGAAGGACAAAAGGGTGATTGTTTGAACTCCTACTCCAGTATGCTTAATAAATGAAACTTCTTTTATTAGGCAAAAATTAGTCTTTCCCTTCTATATATTGAGGAAGAGCTGTCTATTATTCCACAACCAGTAAGAACTAGACCGAGCAGCCCTTGACAGGCCAAAGCTTGCTTTATTTATTTATGTATTTATGTATTTATGTATTTATTTATTTTGGTTCCCAACCTTGGGTAATCCAGGTGTTCTTGAACTATAATTCCCAGAACCCTTTGCCACCAGCTGTGCTAGCCGAATTTGCTGGAAATTGCAGTCCGAATACCTGTGGGCTGAAACACCTGGCTTGCCCAAAGTTGGAAACCACAGAGGTAGAGGAAAAGACCACAGCGTTACTTTTTTTCTTTTTCTTTTTGGAACCAGCCAGCTGGGGTATTTTGGGAACTGTAATCCACAAGAAAAAAAATAAAAACTTTCCAAGCTCTTGAAAAGCGCTGTTGTTGTAATTATAACAACAGTCGGCATTTGTTCATTTCTTTGGAACAAGCCTGTGTTTTCACAATTCACCTGGTAGCATGGACAACTAAAATTTCCATGGGGCTCTGGGTGCAGGTGAGCTGGCGAAGGACAAAAGGGTGATTGTTTCAACTCCTACTCCAGTGTGCTTAATAAATGGAACTTCTTTCCCTTCTGTATTTTGAGGAAGAGCTGTCTATTATTCCACAACCAGTAAGAACTAGACCGAGCAGCCCCTTGACAGGCCAATTCTTTAAAAGATCAGTTTTAAAAATGCAAGCTAATAAAATTTGTTGGCTTCTTTAAAAGATGTATTTGGTACATTCAAGGACTTTTGCAAGCCACTGTAAACTTTACAATGGCTTGTTTAAGAAAGACTAGTACTACTGTCATCTGTGGCAGCTGCATCTGAGAGACAGAAATTGCCTTTGCACACTTTCAGACTTTCTGAAACGACATAGGAACAGAGTTTTCTTTATTATGAGTTTTGCCACGTACAGAGTCATAGAGCCATAGAATAATTGAGTTGGAAGGGGCCTATAAAGCCAGTGAATCCAAACCCCCTGATCAATACAGGAATCCAAATCAAAGCAGATCTGACAGACGGTTGTCCAACTTTCTCTTGAATGCCTCAAGCATTGGTGCACTCACCCCCTCCTGAGCTAACTGGTTCCATTTTTGTACTGCTTTAACAGTTAAGATGTTTTTCCTGATATTCAGTCTAAATCCGGCTTCCTGTAGCTTGAGCCTCCTGGTCTACAGAGCTTGGGATGATGATAATATTAATTAAAAAATAACAAGGTATTAATTATTGATTGATATACTAGTCGTCTTTCGATTTCTTATGTATTTCTTTTAAAAAGATTAAGAAGACAGGAATTGCAGCAGGAATTACGGGGGAACACATATCAAGCAATATGGTGCCTCACCTCTCGCCTATAAAATTCCGGCTTTTTGTTTGGTAACAAGGAAACTCATTTTGGAAGAGGGCAAGGGGAGGCCAAACTGCTTGCTTAGCATGATTCTTAAAAACAGGGTTCTGGAAAGTTTATTCCAATGCATGCGAATTCTACAGAGGTTTAGAAAAATCTGCTTCTAGCTGTGTGCAAACAAGCCTAGAGAGAATGCCAGGGATTTCATTCTGAATAGATAACAAGGTGCTGTGGTGGGACCCAGGAGAGCTGATGTTTTGTTCGGTAGTAAAGCGCGACAGCCGTTGACTGCTCAGGCTGCAACGGAGCCTGGATGGAATCATGTCCTTGACAGTGGTTTCCAACAACCATGGAATTCAGCAAAGGAAAACAGGAGGGAACAGCATGGGAAGCTGATCTTTTCAAAACAGCATGAATAAAAGCCCTGGGAGTATTCTGTGATTTGTAACTTATTGTGCAAAGTGTCTCTCGAGCAATGGTTTAAACAAAAAACAAAGGGTTACCAAGAATGAAAGCAAGGTGTATAGTATCTACATTAGCTTTGCCAAATTATCATCAAAAATGGGACTGGCCTGCTACTGAACCTTCAATATCCCTGTGATCTACTATGATTCCTGTTTTAGAGAAGACACTGAGGGTGACACTTCCTTAAGGTCACCCCCAAAAATTGACTGTTCAATTGAGACTGCTTAACTACCAAGTTTCTGACTGTCAGTTCATTCGCTCTCCTACTTCACTATCCTAGTTCCATGGCTTCAGATTTCCCTTATAGATCATAAGTGGACCCCACCCTTACCTCCAAAGAGCTCAACAGAGCATAAATGGTTTCTTTAGACCCTATTTTCATCCCTCCACTATCTCTCTACTTTTAAGGTAGAGTAAAGACTGCTTAACTACCAAGTTTCTGACTGTCAGTTCATTCGCTCTCCTACTTCACTATCCTAGTTCCATGGCTTCAGATTTCCCTTATAGATCATAAGTGGACCCCACCCTTACCTCCAAAGAGCTCAACAGAGCATAAATGGTTTCTTTAGACCCTATTTTCATCCCTCCACCATCTATCTACTTTTAAGGTAGAGTAAGTGGAAAGAATGCAACAAACCTACGGTTACTCAGCTATCTTTATGGCAGAGTGAGGATCAGAGGTCCTTCTCCCTAGTTCCAGCCCACCACTTTCTAACAACTTCAGAAAGAGCCAATGTAGTATAACGGTTAAAGCTGGGAGTGGGATTTTTCAGAATCAAGTTTTTAATCCACACCGAAGCACAAAACTGAGTTGGTCATCTCTCACTCTCTTTCCTACTGAGGATTATTATGAGGATACAAGTAGGGAGGAAGATTGCTGTTTATGTTGCCTGGATCTTATTGCTTGAAAGCTGGTGTAGAAATGCAACAAACAAATGAATGAACGCCACAGGTAGGCATCAACACTCACACACTTGGTAGTAAGCCCCACGCAAGTCAGTGGACATTCAGAGGACTGTGCTGCACATAGCATTTCAACTTATTTCATAAGAATATTTCAATGAAATTAAAAGCACAGATACCCTCAAAGATGGCTTGGACTAAAATTCCCATCATCCTCACTGGCTGACAGATGGTAAGAATTATAGTTGAACACATCCAGAGAGCAACAGGTTGAGAAAATCTGCAGCCTATGAATGTTCCCTGAACTTATTAAGGGGCAAATATCCTAAGAATTTACAAACTGTTGAGGATCAGTATCTCGAGAGACTTCTCAAACTCTGTTGATGGGTTTTCTGGAGACTATGGACAGCAAGATGCTGAATTAGACAGCCATGTGATCTGATCCTTGTATTTTTTTTGTGTGTGTGTGTGTGTGTGTGTGTGTGTGTGTGTGTGTGTGTGTGTGTGTGTGTGTGGTTGTGTGTGTGTGTGGGGGAGAGAGAGAGAGAGAGAGAGAGAGAGAGAGAGAGAGAGAGAGAGAGAGAGAGAGACAGAGAGACAGAGAGAGAGAGAGAGAGAGAGAGAGAGAGACTATATTTTCCAGAATACCTCAGCCACCATGGACATTCTGGAGTTGTAGCCCAAAAAAGCAACTTTCCTGCTCTCTAAAAGTGCTCATAGAACCAGTCATGCTAGCTCGGGTTTCATGGGAGGTTAGAGTACAAAAGAATATTAGCAAAACCAAAGGACAAAAGAAAAGAAAAGCCGGGGGGTTGGAGGACAAAATATTATGGTATTGTACTTTAAAGGCTAATAAACCAGGTTTCAGTGTAAGCTTCTGTGGATCAAAAGACACTTCTTGAGACACAAATACAAAAGAAGCAACATCTCCTGCCCATGAATGTTCTTACATAACTTACCTTGCAGTGAATAGTGAAGGTCATCTATGTCTGTGGAAGACTGCTCTTCATCCCCTGGTGAGATTCTGTGTGGCTCCATGTTTTTAAGTTCCGAAGGTTACTGTAAGGTCATTCCAACTATAAGAGGGAAGAAACAAAAGAAAGAAAGAAATCAATGTTAAGCTGACAGCCACAGCTGGATTTCCCTTCTGAAACTCATGCCTGCAATAAAAACAACAACAGGAGAAAAAACATGGCCAGCATTAAATTTGTAATTGTGTGTTCTGAGGACAATGTTTTCTGCATCAGGGACTACGCCTTCTTTTCCAACCACAAAGCCGTTAAGTTATCCTTTCTGGGTCCCTATGGATGCTATTTCTAACAGCTGGCTCACCTCCGTGTCTGGAAAAGCCACTGCTACAAAACAGGAAATACATCTGAATCGAAAGATCTGAGGCGCAGATTTGAAGGGGAGGAAGAAAGTTGAACGAGCCAGAATGTCAAGCTGACAGTGTCTCCTGGGGAATTTTCAACCAGCCCATTCCTACCGACCCAGAAGGATGGTTCTTTTTATTTCCTTCTCTTTCCACACCCCCTCTGGACATACTCATTAAATTTTTCCCAGATCTTTCTTAGCTCAGCAATTGTTACAGCAAGTTGCAAAGAAAAGTAGTGCGGCCAACAAAAGATTAAAATGTAACTAAGAAACAGACATTACCGGACATTAAAAAGAGCTATCATTCCTGTCTTATCTGTATCTTAGCTACCACCATGTACCTCGGCAAATTCTATTTGCAACAGAGTTTATTTTTTCAACACTGTGCCCATCTTTCTTCTGGATGATGCCCTCATCAATCATGCCCCCTTGCATTTTGGACGAATACATACAACGGCCTTCTAAATGTGTATAATAGTTCATGGGCACCACCGTGCACGAGGCCCGTGCAGTTAGCCAGAGAAACCTTTTTTTAAAAAACCAAGTTGGGGAAACACTGGGCTGAAGCCAAAGAAATCTGATCTTCATCCAACACACACAGAGTAAGTCATAAATCCATATCACTCCTATTGTGGTACATGCCCAGCTTACAATATTTATTACCAGTGATTGCTTCAGATCTAAATTCCTCAATGCTTCCTTGAGAACGTGTTTCTCCATTTCTGTTTACTCACTCTTGTTTAAGGCTTTAAAAAAACAAATTACTCTGGCATAAATCAAAATAAGCTTTCGTGCTTTTTTTACAGGATCAACAATCAACTGATAGAACTCCTCTGTTCAAGATACTCTAAGAGAATAATAAAAGCAAGTTGAATAGAAGGTAAATGGATCTCTCAACGGCAATCCAGATCCATATAGATGAAATACATACATATGGTCCATTGCTTGCTCAAGAAACGAAGGACAAGAGATAACCAAAGATAACTATGTTCACATGTAACTTAAAATTTTAATTTACCATTACATCTACTAGCCTCACTCCAATACAACTGGAGGACACCAGGGCAAGAAACACTGAATTTAACTATGGTTTAGGTAAACAAGCCAAGTTTAAACCATGGTTTACAATCCTGGTTTGTTCTCCTAATCATAGTTAGCTTGAATCCAATCTCAGGCTTACCCATACTTATCCCTGTGGCCACAAACGGTGTTTGCATGCAAATGCAGCCAACATCCATGTTACAATATCCCAGCTGCACTCTGAACCATGGCATTGCTTTTCATGGGTAAACTCCTAATGTCATATCATGTTTCCCTGAAAATAAGACAGGATCTTATATTACTTTTTGCTCCAGAAATGCATTAGGGCTTATTTTCAAAGGATGTTTTATTTTTTTCATGTACAACAATTTACATTTATTCAAATACAGTCATATCTTCTTCTTCTGGTTGCTGCACAATGGTGGAGGGTGGGGTTTCACTTAACTAGGGCTTATTTTTGGGGTAGGGCTTATGTTACGAGCATCCTGAAAAATCATACTAGGGCTTATTTTCAGGTCAGGTCTTATTTTCGGGGAAACGGTAAAAATTACAATGACACCTGATACTTTTAAACTGAGAAAATAAAGGTAAGTAAAGAGATTTTCTCTCTCTCTACAAATTTAACAACCCAGAATCATCCAGTGAACACTTGATAGCAAAATTTAGAGGTGTACAGATTTGTTGGGAGGTTCATTGACGACAGTTCCTTGAATTCCATAGGCAGCTACAAGGTATGATGACGGCCACCAACTCAGAGCCAAATTATGGGTTATATTAAATCTGCATTATGAAGCTGCCTCTTTATTTTTTACCCACTCAGATGTGGGTATCTAGGTCCCATGCACTTCACTGTGACCACTACACATGGGGAGAACAGGATTAAATATCACTTATTTATGAGTAAGTGAAAAGTAGAGCGCCAGCTACATGCATCATGTCTGCCCCAGCCATGATTAGATTTTGTTTCCCCCTTTGGATGTTCCCATTCTCTTCTTCAAGGTCCCCAGAACAGTAGATGGAATCTCTATGCCAGTGGTTCTGGAAGCAACAAGAGAAGGATATTGTCTCATGGTCAATGGCATGGGCTTGAAGAAAGCAGAGCACGGAGAAGATCAGAGATGGATAACCACTAAAGATCTGGAGTCAGTTTTCGACCAGTGGCCTGAAGTCCACTTCTGGTTTTCTAAGACGGCTCTGATGAGCTGTCCCCAGAGGACAGTCTGCAGGGGTGCTGTACCTGATTTTAAATAATCACCATCACACAGGGATGATTCCAAGGAAAACAATTCTCCTTTATAAGCACAGACATATCAGATGGATAGATAAGACAGAGAGACAGAGAATTAAGGGAATAGTTATGCACCCAGACTGAGTGTCATACCCTCAGGCTAATCTAGGGAAGCTCTTCTTACATCCTTAATTTCCTAGTTTAGAACCTCCTGGAATTTAGATGGAAGTGCTGTTTGTAACTCAGTGGTAGAGGGCATGTTGGGTCTACCAAAGGTCCTAGACTCCAACTAGTATCTCCTGAGAAAATATACTGGATGATTCCCTGGAACAGCACTGCCAAGTCAGCACAGAACATGTTGTGTAAGACAGCTCCTCCCACCCCATGACCTTTCCTTTTAACAGGACAGAGAACCACCATGAGGAAGCAGCTTGCCATGCTGTATTGGCAATGTACAAATTGATGCTCAGCTATGGCCAGAGGTGGATCTTAGCTGTTGTGGGCTGGACTGGGTTGGAATGGAAGCCTGTTCTCCATGCTATAGACTAGGGTCTCCAAACTTTTGACCGTAAGGGCCACGCCGGATATTTTCAACATTTTTGAGGGCCGAAGGAACAGGAATGTGTGCATGCCCGTATGCGCAGCTGCATGCACACATGCATGCACCCTCCACCTGCACCCCCCACGAACACTCACCCGTCCACCCAGATGTGGCCCGTGCGTCGTAGTTTGGAGACCCCTGCTCTAAACCAACCATTCTCAACCCTTTTTTAAAATCACGGCCATAAACACAATATGAAAGAAATATAGGCCGAGTCAAGATTGCGTAAGTCGCCTAACGAACCTTGTAAGGTGGTGTGTGAAGAATGGTTTCCAGTCTGCGGCCCCCTTCAAATATGCCGGGGACCCTGGGGGGGGGTTGTCATATGCCCTCCGTTGAGAATGCGGCCCCCTTCAAATATGCCGGGGACCCCGGGGGGGTGTCATATGCCCTCCATTGAGAGTGGCTGCTTTAGACATTTCCTTGGCTCTATGACGTTTAAATGCTGAAATGCGTGCAAGGATTATTTCTACAGTGAAACCTCTTCCATGCGACCCCACAACATATGTATTTATGATCCGGACCAGAATTCTGTCTTTTTTATTCCCTGCCAGACCAGTCCAGAGAACATTCCTAGAAATTTACACTGTTACATCTCAAGAATGAAACCTAGCTGGAGAACGTATCTCAGAGATAAAACAGCAGATTCTTGAAGGACTCTGTACTGCCGGATCCTGGTTTCGTTTTTAATGTTAAACAGAACGTCTTGTTTGCTTCTTTTTCTGGAAGCAGCATCGGGTTGCTGCCAGGAATTCTTACGCAGAGGCCATTCTTGCTCATTCCTCTGTTACAATCTTTGAGAGAATCTACATGTGCAGCGCAGAACCCCCACGCGAATGCTTCTTCTAAATTGTATCACTTCAGTTTTCCCGAGAAGGAAAGGAAGACTGCATGTTTGAATAATCTGCCATATTAAAAAAAAACACAAATCCGTGGCCTCAGATCCCCCTCCAATACATGCAATGTATCAGTGCTATCCAGACAGGCAGAATCTTTATTGCTTAATCCAGAGGCCATAGCAAATATTATACAGTATTAGTACAATCACAAACTTTCCAGTACTATCCAAGCATTTCTTTGTTCTTTTACTACTATGTCTGGTGTGTTATGTTCAAGGTGTCTGTCCATTTGGATCCAGAAATCCACAAGACCTTGACTTCCTCATTTTCTGACATTTTCTCTATCTGACGTTCCCATGGGTTTTTTGGAGGCTGGCAACTTATATTTTTTGCATAATAACCAGTACACTAATTTTGCCACTCTTATCATGTCTTGCACTAATTTTGCCACTTTTTATTACTCAAAAACACCAGGCACAGCCAACATTTTAAAAAACAATGTATAACAGATACAAGTTTTAACCAAAAACCTAAGTACAGTATTGGTTAAATACTGGCGCAGTATGTTCAACAGGTACTTAGGTTTAGTTAAAACTTAAAAAATAAAACTTAAAAAAAACTTAAAACTTATTATTGTTGTTGTTGTTTGCATAACTATGCAACCACTATGTGATGCGGAAGTAAGAAATGGATTAAGGAGGTACCAGGATTCTCAATATAGCACAAACACAGACCAGCCCCAACCCAGAAATATCTCAACACTGTTGATCAAAGGGCGTGTCACCCTCTAGCCCTCACTAGAGGGGTAAGGAGGAGGCTGTGACGTCCACAGGCAAGACCATCAGAGATCTATCCTGCAGCTGCATCAAAAAAAAACCCAGTTTCTTATTCGGGGGCTTCACGTAAAATGCAAACTGAACATTCATCAGATACCCAGAGCTTGGCATCTATCAGCCAAATTAAGTCTCCTAGCCAGTCTCTGAAAGGGG